TAGGCTTTTGGCCGTATTTTCTCCAGGCCCACGAATCTGCGGTGAGGTTTTCAGCTGTTACATGGCAAACCATTCTTTCTGTTGACCTCTTTCTGCTGCAGAATTACACAAACGCAAATAAAGAAATGCGCCATTTTTACCCAAACATCACACATTCCAAGATCACGCGCGCGCGTGTGTGTGTAACTTTGTAAAACAGATAAAACGCTGAAAAAAGAATTCCATTTCCATATACCTTTTTCTCATCTGATTGCTTGAGCAGCTTGCGTATTTGGTAAAGTCATACCAGAATTATACTGTTACCACCGCTGATCTGATTTGGTGGTGTTTGAAATTGCTGTTTTCTGATGAACTAATTGTAGCTGATTTTGAATTTGAGTTTGTTGTTGGAGTTGCTGTACATGTTGGTCATGGAATCTTTGAAAGCCAGAAGAAGAAGAAGTGGAGGCGGGCGAGGCTTGAGGCATAAAATGAGGCCTAATATGAGAAGCATAAGAACCAGAAGCAACAAGTGATGATGATGATGATGATGCAGTATCTATATTATTATTATTGGTACAACTACTGGACCCTTCGCCTGCAAAATCAGTAAAAGAGGAATTGGATAATGCCACAACCACTAGTAGAGATAGTGGTGGTTTTGGTGGTTGGTGGGGATAAAGGGTCTGAACAATTGGTGTAGTTCTTGGAACCCACTGGTTCTGGGTTGTGTCAAACTGGGGAAAGAGAAGATGTCTTTTCTTCCTTGATTAATGGTAAAGAAAGGTCCTTGGATGAAGAAGACGACGGTGTCGTAATGGAAGTAGTGGTGCTGGCGGCGGCAGTGGCGGAGGAAGGGGAGGAGGATCTGCAACCTCGGACGACGGCGGAGAGATCCCAGCCTTCGGCCATTTAGCAGGAGGAGAACAAAAGAGAGTAATAATACTGAGAGAGATCTGTAAATTCCCACATAATCAGAGAGTGTTCGGCCAATTTGAAGCAAAAACCCAGAAAGAAAAGAGATGCACAAAGGACGGCGCTGACTTTTTGGTTAAGGAAGCCTTTAGAAAGAGAGAGAAGGAATGGAAGAAGCAAGAGAATGGTGGTGGAGCACTGGCTGACTTGAGTAATTGTTAATTATTTATATCCAGAAATTTGATTTGTTTTTTTTAAAATCAAATAATAAAATATGAGAATGAAAGTGAATTTGTTTTTGGCAACAAATCATATAATATTTAGAGTTATTATTTTAATTAGATCCTACCTACCCATTTAGAGATAAACACTCTCGATAGAATTTTTTTTATTTAAGTTTCAGATTTTGTTTTTCTTAAAGGGTTTAATTGTTTAATTGGTGAAAAGGTGGGGAAATTGGATGCCTTTTTGATTGACTTGGCAAAATGTCAAAGGGTGGGGGCCAGCCAAAGGTGGCAAGACGAGGACGATGATTCGGATGCCGTGAGAGATGCCAACTCTACAATATTGCCCACTTATAGTAGTACTCGATGTCCTATTGGTGTGCGCGTCCTCACGACACCGCCATTGCAAGTTCTTAACACGCGCCCCTCACGCGAGTGTGACTGGTTTGCTGAGGCCTAGAGATGCTCCTCTACACTACTCCCTCCGTTTTTTATTATAAGAGACATTTGATGCTTATGGCATGTTTTCATATATAAGAGACATTTAAAATTTGTCTCTAGTTTTTTGTATTGATTTTCCTATTTTACCCCCTATTTATTTTGTCTCCTACTCATATTCTCTCTCCCTCCCATTTCTCTTTTTTTTAATAATTTAATTGTTCTCTCTCATACTCTCTCTCCTTATTAATAGGGGTATTGTTGAAAAAAACATTATATTTTTTACACATTAATTGTCCTCAACTAATTTTAACTGTTTTTTTTATCAACATAATTTAGTTATTTGTCTTTTATAATAAGGAACGGAGGGAGTAGTGTCTTACATTTCACGTTACAACTGGACCCTCCGGCCTCTTTTTCCATTTTTCTTTGGTTCCTCAAATTTTTTTTTTGGTATAACTCAATTTTTTTGATCATAGGTTCCTCAATTTTTATATTTCGCATTTACTGAAATAAAAATTTGTTCTTTCACAATTTTTGGTTCCCATGCATAGAATCAAAGATAAATGGTGGTTTGGAGACTCACTGGAATCGAGAAAAAATTATAATTCAAGACGTGATTATAGAAATATTAAAATAAATAGATTATTTATGATTAATGGGTTATAACAAAATTGAAATTCACGTGTTTTTTAACTTTGTTGCTTACTTATTACTCCTTTCATCTCTTTTTATAACAAATAATTTTTCTCATGTTCTTAAATATATAAGAAATAAATTCTCTTTATTTAAAATTTTAAAGTAATATTTTTATTTTTAACCTTATTAAATATGCGTCATTTATTATCTCTCTATAACAAATTTTTACTCGTTATTTCTCATTAATTTTTTGTACAAAGGGTATAATTTGAAAAAGAAAAAATAATATGGCAGTCCTTATAATTTTATTAAATTTTGAATTAGATACTTGTAGTTTTTTTTTCCTTTTATTCAATCCCTATTATTTGTTCTCTTAACAATGTAAGTCCTTCTGTTAATTTAAATGTTAGTTTAAATTAACACCGTCTTCTTTTCTCTCTCCCCCTCTTGGGTGCACTGTCTAGCTTCTCTCTCTCTCCACTCTCCCCATTCATATCCCTTCTCTCCCCACCATCATCTTCTTTATCTCCTCTCTCAGTTTCTCTATCACTTCTCTCATCGTTACTTCATATTCTTTCTCATCTTCTTCTTGTAGTCCTCTTGCAGTAATATACACACACTTTTAAGCAAACTCTTAAAGAACTTATTTTTTTTGCTGCATTTTCGACCAGAGGGGGAATAAAAGTGAACACTAAAGTATATAATGTCTTGTACTATATTGTTGAGTTTATAGAATGAAATTGGAGCCGAGTTCATCAAGATTGAATGGAAGTCACATAGCACTTTTCATATAGAAAATCTCGGTCAAAGATATTACTCCTCCGATTCTTAATATAAGACTCATTTAACTAATTTGATTAGATTAAAAAAGTTATGTAAGTTGGTTAATTATAAAAAATGTAAGACATTTTTTCTAAAATATCATAATCATCTTTCTTAATACCTTCTCTTCCTTTTCTACTTGATTATGGTTGAGGAAGTATCTATAGGGGTAATTTAGAAAAAATTGATAAATATGAGAAATGTGTCATATATTTAGGATCAAAACCAACTCAACAATTGAGTCCTATATTAAGGAGCGAAGGAGTATATATGGATATTTTGTATGACCCTCAGTGATCCACAATGCGTCTTGGAATTAATTTGTCAATGTCAACAAAATATATAACCGCCAGCTACATCAGACTCTGTTACTCTGTGGTGCTATGTTTTTTTCCCTTTTCCATGAAAATTCTGTTCACCATATGTGTAGCAAGAATGAAGAAAGCGGAGGATACTATTACATCTGTGAGAAGGAAATGTTTGCAATTTAAGAGTAAAGCTTTTGCAAGAGGAGATAAAGAAGATAATGGTGGGGAGAGAGATATGAAGAAAAGGTGGGAGAGGAGAGAGAGAAATTGAAAGAGCAAATAAAAGAAGACGATGGTGAGGAGGGGGAGGGGATATGAACGGGCAGAGGGGGGAGAGAGAGAAGCTCGGAGCGGAGATAGTGCATCGAAAGAGAATAGCTTCTGGAGAATAGATTTTGGGAAGAATAGATTTTGTGAAGAATAGATTTTATCAAAAAGTGATTCTAAGAAGTGAGAGTGTTTGGATAGCTGTTATCAAAAGCACTTTTTATATGTGCAAATTACTAAAAAAGACATAAATTAATATAATAATTATATAAAGGATAGATTTGATAATATATTTTGATTTGAAGAAATGAAATTATTAATAAAATAATTTTTACTAACATAATTAATAATATATAAGATAATATAATTAATAAATAATTAATATGTATATATATTTATAAACTATAAGATTAAATAGTAAAGAACTGAGTGTGGAATGAAGAGTGAGGCATCAATTATGGGGGCTGTTTTGTCATATGTTGTTGGGTCCATACCAATGTCTGAAAAATTTGAGCCAGAAGCAACTTTAAACCACTTCTATCGAAATCATGGTTTTGGGGTTCAAAACCATGGTTTTACCCCAAACTATGGTTTCACATTTTTCCTTCTATTTGGCTGACTTCTTTCCCAAACCATGGTTTGAGGAGACGATGTGAACTTTAAACTAACGGCTAAGTTAACAGAAGGACTTATGCCATTAATAGAACAAAAAATAACGATTCAGTCAGAAGGAAAAAAAAAACTATAATGATCTAAATCAAAATCTAATAAAATTACAAGGATTGCCATATTAATTTTCCTTTTGAAAAATATGTATATATCTTACACATTTATTATTTTTAACTAAATTTAACTAACATTTTGAATTTCTTAATTTTAGTAGTTTCTTATAATAAAAGACAAAGGGAATATTATTTTTATTTTTAGCCCCATTAAATATACGTCATTTATTATCTCTCTACAATAAATTTTTACTCATTATTTCTCATCAACTCCTTGTACAAAGGGATATAATTTGAAAAATATGTATATATCTTACACATTTATTATTTTAAACTAAATTTAGCTAACATTTTGAATTTCGTAATTTCAGTAGTTTTTTATAATAAAAGATGGAGGGATTTTTTTTATTTTTAGCCCCATTAAATATACGTCATTTATTATCTCTCTACAATAAATTTTTACTCATTATTTCTCATCAAGTCTTTGTACAAAGGGGTATAATTTGAAAAATATGTATATATCTTACATATTTATTATTTTTAAACTAAATTTAGCTAACATTTTGAAATCTATAATTTTGGCAGTTTCTTATAATGAAGGACAGAGGGAATACCGCTAATAAAAAAAATCTGTAACTAGTAATAGTGCTAATAACTAATGCTCCCTTTGTTCTTTTTAATAAGAAATGATTAACTGAATCACATTGATCAAAAAGTTAGTTAAAATTAGTTAGAAACATTAAATATGTAAAAAAATGCAATTTATTTTAAAAACACCTTATTTATGAAAATTTTGGGTGGGAGAGAAGATGGGTGGAAAAAGAGATAACAAAAAATGAGTTAGGAGAAAAGACAAAAGAGACATGTAATTAATTAAGAGTAAATATAAAAAAAATGCATTAAATGTCTAAATATATCCAAAGTGCCTCCTATAAAAGAAATATGCCCTTTCAAAGAAGTGTCTCTTATAAATAGGAAGGGAGGGGTAATAATATTTGGTTATGCATAAATGCATATTAATTGAAAGTGAATCAAAATTGGGAATAAACTAATGTGGTGTTATTGGATATCCATATTTCGATAATAATAAAATGGTTAAGGTCTTTAAATACTTTAAAAGTATCCATAAATAAGCACCCAGTGCTTAAAAGTATCTTTTTTGGGATCTAATATAGTCAGGAACTTTTGTTTCATAGTACTTATGTCCTGAACCGCCATTCACTATTAATTTTGACCGCTAAAAATACGGGTCAAACCACATAATTTAACAGTCAAACTTAGTAGTAAATTATGATGGTCATGCTATATTTGCTATGAAAATAAATTCACAGGATATATAAGAGCCATTAAAATCTTCTAGATGTTGAGTATTCCTTTGTAGATACTTTCAAAATATTTAAACTCTTTAACACATAATAAAATTAGATAAAATATTATTTTTGTAGTGTATAAATGAAAATATGATCATAAAACAGTCAAGTAAAAAGGATATAAGGGAGGACTCAAAACTTTGAAGTTCATTTTTTATGTGACATCTGTTTGTCTTTTAATATCCTGTATAAATGAGTACTAGAAGCATGGATAAATCATGTTTTACACAGTTTAGAAAACACTTCAAAATATTTTTCATTCATTAATTTTTAATCA